TCTATCGAATAACTCTTTGCAGGAAGAAATATTTCCTAGAGGAAAATGGAAGGAAATTTTTTCAGTGAATGAGAGAGTATTTTTGGTTGCAAGAAGATCCATCAGACTTCATGCCATTTTAATCAATGGTTTAAAAAAAAAGCCACCTTTCGTTTAAGTAGCTCTGTAGTGTAAACTCTGATCTACCTGGACCAGGAGGTGCTGACATTTTCGTTTACTAGAATCTTTATATAGTTCACTATTTTAATAGTATGTGACCAGAGTTAAGGAAGAGATTGACAGCTAGTCAATGAACTGATGAATATCTATCTCATAAGCATTTCATTTTAGCTACCCATGTAGTGTGCATTTTGCCTTTACATACACTCATTCCAATGCTATTATCTTACACTTAATTACTTAGGTCTCAAAGCGCTTTACAAAGGAATGAGCTATCATTATCAACATTTAATATACAAAGAAATTGAGGCACAGTGGTATAATTTGCTGAAAGTTATTGAACTCATATCCAAGGTCAGTGGCAGGTGAAAAACAAAGCTCTCAACTCAAGTATCAGGCGAGTACTGTATTCGGCACACCACACTGCCTCTCAAGATGTAGTCAATGCTTCCCAAGCACACAATCTTTAGTAATCTACATCAGCCCGTGTAAAAATTTAAAATGCCACCTCCATTACAGCAAGCATTACAGTGTAAAATTTAATATATTGACACTTAATCTGTTAAACACTGGAATATTGTGTTCAGCTTTCTTCAAATGATTAAGCTAAGATGACAAACATCATGTCATCATAAGATTACTTTCTTGACAAGTCTGCCCTGGTCATTCTTCGCCTACTTTTAAACATCTTTGGAGAATACCCATCTTCTCAAAGATGCCCAATTGTAGTTACTCTTTCCTAATTATGGTAGCCTCTTGCAAGACCTTTGTAATGCTGGGATTTTATTTCAGTCATGAAATTATACAGCCTGTTCAGTTCTCACTCTTGCTTTTACTTTAAGTATTAAAACCAGCAGGAGGCACTTGGTAAAACCAACAATAACTTGATGTTTGATGACAAATGTTTGAGAGTCAAAACTAACCCCTCATTTTGCACTGAGCAATTTTATGTACACGAGGAGTAAATGAAGTTACCCTTGTTTGTAGAATTTGGAATGCTTTCACTAGCTGCATGTCCAAGTACAAGTCCCAGGACTGAATTAAACGCGCTAAATGAAATTAATTTACTTCTATGTTCAGCTCAGGTGGCTAGCAGGCCTTGAACAAGATTACCAGGACAACTAGTGAATAACAATGAAACCAGCGCTGCAGCAGATTTTATTCTTGGTGCTGGGTTTTACCATTTCTCGTTTTTGTTAGAAGTCTTCCTTCCCTGTCACTGCGCTCAACAGAAATGGGAATCTCAACTTCCAAACAAGTTAAAAAAAAAAACCAGAAAGAAATACAGCTTGCAAGTTTACATTGTAATTGATACAAGTCTATTATTACAAGACAAATTGCAGACAATGAAAGAGACAGCTCGATCCGTTACTGAATCCTTGTAAGGGCTGTATGAAGAGCTTGACCATTTCACTCATAAATCTTTCTTCTAAGTTTGTATTGCTGCTTGTGTGGGTAAAATAATAAAAATATGGAGTGAAGTATACAAGAGATGCAGTAATACATTTCTAGTCACAATTACATAAAGTTTGTTACAGGAATTGTAACCATTTCAGCATCTAATCAGAAATAATGTTATGTTACAGGCTGCTAAAACACCACATGATATCTTTAAGAAGTCATTAGATGCGATCATGCCAATTGTGAATAATCATCTCTGCTACAGATTGCTGTGATGCACTGGGCTGTCACAAGTCATTCTTGACAATCTGTCACAAACTTTCTGCAGGACAGACCAGTGCAAAGCATGTAGGAACTTGATTTCCAGGAGGCTGACCTACTTACTAACTTAATGGCAAATATAAACACAACAAACAGGAAAAGCCAGATTAGAAGATTCAAGATATATGTTCCCATTTATATGTTCCCATTTATTTTTTAGAGTAACTGATTTTAATAATATTTTTATAGTAATTTCTTGTCTATTGTCTGTGGATCGTAGTGCCCAGCAGGGAGATCATGAGAGCCACTGAAACTTTAGAATTAGCTGTCAATACTGAATGACAGAAACAGAAAGAAGATAAGCAAAGAGGTCGGAGAGGGGAGGATATAAAACAGGATACATGCAACAATTTTGCTCAAATGAGTGCAAGTACAGTTATGAAATGCACATGGTTCCTCCTCTGTCCGGAGATTGAAAGGAAGCCACAACACCAAAAAGTAACAGAAACCAAGACTACAACCAAGGATGCCCAATAGGCAGCTTTCTGCCAGTAGTTTGTGGTTTCATATCCAGTTAGAGCCTCCCTTCCCCTGTAAAGCCCCTGAGAGGGCTACCTAAACACTCCTGCCAAAGTGACAACTGAGGGATGCAGTCTAGAGGTACAAGGAAGTGTACCTCTGTACCAAAGACAGTCCCCTTTGACAGCTTCACATATCATAGTATAATCTTTTCCACTAACACGTTATAGCACATGTTCCAAAAACAAACCGTGGTTTTCCTGGCACTCATCTGTTCCACCAAATCCTCAAAGCAAAAGATGCTGGTAGGAGAGATTACTTTTCCTTTGGGTTAAGTGTTGGAAGGAAAACAGTTTATTTCACAGTAAGGTTGCACAGGCAAGTAGGGAGGAGGGGACAGACTAGACTTAATGATCATCTAAAACCACAATATATTACCATTAAGTAATTAAGTCACATTAAATTCAAGCTACTTTAAAAGAGCAATATTCCAACATCAGCCAGAAAAACAGAGGCTACAGCTGCTAGCACCACAGTTTTGCTTGCAACAAATACAATACAAAACTCACAAGCATCTGACTGGAGATGCCTGCAATGGTTAAGAGGCCTTACACTCTGAATTACCTTGCTTTTGTTAGGCAGGTGAATTGTCCATAACATTCTTTCTGAAAGGAGTTTTTTTTTCCCTTCAGAATTTAATTTATAAACTCACTCCTGCCAGGCTGCGATAGCAGCTACTGTATAAACCTGAAAATGATGACTACTGAAATTCCATTCAAACCTTAGGAATCAATAGAAAGCAGACAAACCACCAAGATAAAGTTCCACCCAACTGCAAAGAGCAAGAACTGCAGGATACCTCACATTGTTTTTACAGTGTCTGCAGTCACCAACCTGTGAAATAGAGACTGCACAATCTCATTTCAGTCTGAAAATCTGACCTGTGCTATCCACATGCTGCACCCACATAATCTGCCTGTTGGAAATGCCTTGGTGCTGTAAGTATTTCCAGGCAACAGAAGGAGACTCAAAAGACTAGCAAAGACAGTTTAGAATCTGCTGAGACTTACATTGCATTTGGTAAAAGCTTATTATATGGGCTCCTTAGAGATATTGATCCTGCTTACCTTGAAGTAGCAGCTTTACTGTAAGTCAATAACAAAGCAACCTGCATTGGTGTCACTCTGGTTCATACAAAGTTACGTATACAAACTTGTTGTTTCTATGGGCAGTAAAGAAATACACAATTACAGCATCACCCTTGAAGTCTGCTTAAGTGAACTAATATTGTCTGAAGGCAGATGTTGGCAGTCTAATGTCAGCAGAAGTTTCATTGTAAAGAGCTCTGCATTTTATTTAAATGCTTGCTTATAAATGAAAAATGTTATCTATGACCAGGCTTCAACGAAAACAACCCTGTTGCAACATTTGCTGACTTTTTGCATTTCCCACTTACCATGCCTGCTGCAAATCCAGCTGCTTTATTACCTTCACTGAGGGAGACTACTACCCATACAGACACAGTTGCTTTGGTGCCGTGAGCCCACGCAAGACCCAGTCCATCACATAAGCCTTGGTAGAGCCCAGAGATTAGAATGTGACAGAGGTTATGAAGCAAGTGTGATACGAGCCATGCATCGAGTACAGAGCTTAGCTTTTCAGCTCTTAAAGGGATTGTTGTAAACAGTTACTACGTTCCTTCTCACTTATACTTCATGATAGACAAGTCAGGTGAGGATGTGAACGTATTAGAATTTAAAAGCAAAAAATCTAAATATTCAGAAATCTGCCTCTCTGAACAAAACACAGTGTGCTTCAGTTGAAAAGGAAATTATCACTTGTCTAATACAAAAGAAATGCATTGCCCCAATCACAGCCTACTCTTGAAGGAATGACTCCCCCCCCCCACCTTAAGAAGCCAAATGGATGCAGTTCTATAATTTTGGAGAGTTTTACACAGTATGTGATTGTCTTATTTCACATAAGTTACAAGACAACCCATTGTGGGTTTATCAGATTGTGAACCAGCGTATGAGAGAAAGATTCCCATTGAGAGTGGGTGATAGTCTAAGTCGCATAGAATTTAGTCTATAATATGCTAGAACAGAGTTACTGAAATGAAAGATTGCTGCATAAATTATTTCAAGAATACTAGGAAATATTTGGTAGCAGTCTGTAAAACCAGCCTTCCTACTTTCAGATGCACCAAAAGAAATCCCATCAATAAATACATTTGGTTCATTAGCTACATTCTTTACCTACTGCCCAACCTGTTTTGACTCAGAATTTACTCTCACAAGGGTAAAAACAATGCTGAGAAATTTAGCAAGAGTGCCACAAGAACGTGCAAGTTCAGAAGCACTAGAAAGATATTCCACTGGACACCACTGCTGATATTCAATGGTATTATCCATTACAGAAACTCATCTGATATCAACCAAATTAATTTTTCATCTTGCTTTGTTAAAATTCAATACCAAAAAGGCAAATTCTAGAAAATGAGAGAATGACCAAATAACCAGTTGGAGTGCAGCAGAGGCAACTTTAAGTTGCCTTTATTAAGTCAATGTTAATAAAATATTAATGTTTTAACAAATATTGTTAAACATGCATTTTACCCAAACACCAGATGCATTTAAGACAATTTACATTTGACTCACCATACTGGCAGCGAGGACCCTGAAATCCTGCAGGACAGTGGCATGTCTGGGATCCTGCTTCAGAACATTTCCCTCCATTGAAGCAAGTGCCAACAGTGCACAGCACTAGTACACACAAACAGAATGAAACAGGGGGGTTTTTTTGTTGGTTTTGTGCCAAGGATCCTCCAGAATTGCCTCTTCCTGTAACAGGAACTTCCAAATAAGTAATCTAGCTTTTTATTTAAGTGGAAAGGTTAGACTGCAATAGAACTTATCGTGGGTATAACTACCATGTTGATATGAAGAAATTTAACTTGAATAAAAATAAGACTAAAGTAATGCAGTTTAACCTGAAGATGCTTCATAGGCAGAAAACAGTTTCTCAGGACTCAAAGCACTACCTGAATCTAGAATGAGATGAACTGCTAGAGAATAATTCAGCAGTTGTTAAGAAACACTGGTGTACTAAAAGATGTTATATATGTCCAAGGGAATTACAACAATTGACTTCCTCCGATGCAGAACATTAGTTATTTACACTAAGTTAAATTCCACATACTTGAGCCAAACTTGCAAAGAATACCAAATATAAAAGAATAACTCAACCACTTTCATGCCTTAAAGAATACAAAACAAGTCTGCACTGCTCTTTCAGGAAGAAAATTTTATATTGCCACTGGTGCTCAAATACGTTAAATACCTTTACACCAGAGATTAAAACACAGATTGTAAACATATCTTTGACTTCATACAACAAAACAGGTGCACACTAAATATGTAGATTCAAGCTGAAACTAACAGTAATACCTCTCAGGCTTGTTTTTGTTTTTTAAATACAAAGAGACAATCATAAAGGCAAGCTCTCTGAACGCAGTCCTCAAGTTGGTATGAAGATTAAAAAATACATAGGAGCAGATGCTACCTTTCATACAGAAAATACAATTACTGACAAAACAGTAACAAAACTAAACAGTGAGTAAATTGCTATCTTCTACTCATGTCTTTTTAACACCGGCTAAAGTGGTTCCTTATAATTTAAATTAAATTCCATCTTTTGGGAAAACATCCAATCATGGTTAGAAATTACTGATAGGAACAGGTTCTTGTCAGGTGGAGAACCATAGGGTAGAAACACAATTGCTTTAATGGCAACAGCAGCAGTGAAAAAGCCAAAACCAGTTAGATTCCACAGTGAGTGCTACGTCCAAGAAACAAGTGCCTTACCCAAATTATGCAAAGAAATCTGCTGTAACAGCAATAAATTTGGTTGGCCTGTCAAAGCCAGGCTGGCACAAAAATGCTGCAACAACTATAATCAGAAATACAGTTTCCACCGTTTAGATTAAAATTAGAGATACTTGGTACTTTTACATATGACAGCTTTTGTACTTTTAAAAGAGGTTTCTTTCCCCATCAATAGATTACATCTTTATAACAGGAAATCCCAGTTATAAATAGCACGAAACAAAATACATCTTTCTAGAAGTAAGAAACAGTAGGAAAGTAAGGCCTAAGGATATCATCTCTCAGTTTGTCAGTTTTGCCATCAACTTACAGTGCAAACAGCCAGGTTCGTTGTCATGTTGGACCCATCCAGGGCAGCACTTATAGACAGTCTGACGCTCCATTCTGTACACCTGCTTGTAAACTGTGTAGTACCCAGACCTTTGAAGAGAATAAGTTTAAGAGAACAGTCACAACTTCTATTACACTCATTCACATCTCATCAGTAACAAACTATACTCATATGTCATATTTACTATACATTTTTCAGCCCCTATCAGTTGTTCTTGTTGAAAATGAAGCAAATATAGCAAAACACATTCTGATAACATCCAATAGCTCTAATATACTATATCCACATACTTTCTGATGAATTTGTATTCAGGCTAGTCAAAGGTGAGTAATTTTGTTTTGCAATCAATTTTGCTTTTAGCTGTTGGGGGAGTCAGGTCTCCCATCAGTTCTAAGCATATGGCAGAAATAGAAAGTAGTTCAATTCTTCAAAGTAGATGACTTGACAGCTGGACTTCACCTGCAACAGGATGAGACAGGAGCACTTTCTGATACTATAAAATTGTAATCTAAAGCCAGCCAAGAAGATCATGACACACCTAAAACACAGAATAAAGTCACGTTTTGTGCTCAGTAATAACAGACTTAAAGTAAAGTCTCAGCTGGACACGAGATATCCATAACTAAGTCACACATATTTCAGCTGAAATAGTTTACGTCTCTTTCTCTCAAAGTTAAAGAATTTGCACTAAGTTCAGTAACAGAATTCATTTATAACAATAGATAATGTATTACCTTCTCTCATAGCCCATACACCACCTCCTCCCCGTGCAACCTTGTTTCCACATCTTGACCGTACGACTAAAGGCTTGAACACATGGCTGTTGGTGTCCTACCAATGCCAACTCAAACACTGGACAGACATTTGCCCTTGAGGGAAAGAAAAAGATAAGCTTTATTATTTCTAGCACAAAATCTAGAAGTCTAGAGAAATATACATAAAATTATACTATGTATAACAGTTAATAACAGTTTGAAACAGATTTTATATTATTATTTAAAAATAGTGTAGTTCTATGACTTTTTTTACCTTGAACTGATCAAACAGCTCTCTTGCAAAAATACAGTATCCATAAACACCTGACAAATCATGATCCAATGATTACAGAATGGCAAATGGTCCACAGACGTTAATGGAGCCAAGATTTCATTAATGTATTGTGTCCTGGTTTCGGCTGGGATAGAGTTAATTTTCTTCCTAGTAGCTGGTACAGTGCTGTGTTTTGGATTTAGCATGAGAATAATGTGATAACACGCTGATGTTTTAGTTGATGCTAAGCAGTGTTTATACTAAGTCAAGGACTTTTCAGCTTCCCATGCTCTGCCAGCGAGGAGGTGCACAAGAAGCTGGGAGGGGGCACAGCCAGGACAGCTGACCCAAACTGGCCAAAGGGATATTCCATACCATGGGACGTCATGCTCAGTACATAAACCAGGGGAAAGCTGGCTGGGGGGGCCGCTGCTCGGGGACTGGCTGGGCATCAGTTGGCAGGCGGTGAGCAATTGCATCATGCATCACTTGCTTTGTATATTCTTTTATCATTATTATTATTACTATTTTATTTTATTTCAATTATTAAACTGTTCTTATCTCAACCCACAAGTTGTTTTGGGTTTTTTTTTTCCTTTTACTTTTACTCTCCCAATTCTCTCCCCCATCCCACCAGGGGGGGAGTGAGCAAGCGGCTGTGTCGTGCTCAGTCGCTGGCTGGGAATAAACCACGACATATTGGTTGCACAAGTCATAAGCACGAACACATTCCTGATGGCAATTTTTACATGAACGGCCCAGCTAGCAAAACGTGATTGTACTTTGTTCCCAGAAAATGAGAGCTAAAGCGTTGGAGCAGGATTTGACTGACAACTCGGCAGACACTCTTTGCTGTCTCTCAGTAACACCAGCCTACAGTAGCCCTTTCAGATGAGGCACTGCCTGACTTAAGGATGGTGCCTCACAAGCTGAGGAGCAGATGACGAAGGTGAGGGAGCCTGGGAGGCTCTTCCTACACCAAGACTGCTGGAAGGCTCCCTGCTAGGTCTTGTACATGCAACAGCCCCTATTTCAGCTGATGTGCCAGGGTGGGAATCAAAGACTTGACAACTATAGGCACTGAGCTCCACAGCTCAAAGCTACTGAATAGCCAGCATACAGAATGAAAACACAGCACCTGCCTTAGAAAACTACATAAACTGAACAAAATATACAATGAAATTCAGGCTCCACACAAGTCAATGGAAGCTGTATTGTCGATTCAAGGGCAGATAAGATTTATCTAAACTATTGCTGTGGAAAATGTATATTCTGTAAGAGCCCCCCTTTGCTATCAGTCCCCTCAGGGAACCACATGAAATTTGCAAGAGGAAGTATCATTGTTCTCTGCTGATTATTCCTAAAATAAGACCAAAATAAAAGCATTGCTTTGTAGGATGATATGTAATCTTCATCCTGCTACCTAGCCCTAGTTACAAAAATAGCAGGATTTCAGGAGGTATGGAGGGTCAAAATAAAGGTTACATGTTGATAGTTTTGCAGAGATTCTGCCAGACTTATTCTGATTTCTTTGCCCTGGTGTAAATTAGGAAATGCTGCATGCCAGAAAATAACTGCATAAAACATGCAAGGTCTAACTAAAGCCACAGAACATGGAAGGTTTTGTTGTCTTTTAAGGCAGGAGCTTACTGTAACAAAAATGAAATTAAAAGACCGATTCTTTGAAAGAGCTACTGGGCAAGCAAATGGCTTTTTTTTTCCCCACCACAATTATTCAAATGGTTTTAATCTGCATTTTTTTTTTTTTTTTTTTTTTCTTTGAGTAGCTTACAGGTTGTTAAGATAATTATATTGTCAATTCCCCAAGACAGCCTGCTCTAGCTGGTAACGCTTTTCAAATTTAAGCCTCAATCACTAAAACAGATGGGGGAAACAGGGACCTTATATACCCACTCTGGTAAATGGTAAACAATATTTAGCAGTTGTGTCATACTGGCTAGCAGGCAAGTCCTTCCCCAAATTTCAGTTTGAGACCCCTCTTCATGCTAGACAGTGACGAAGAGGAAGACACACTCACACACTCATTTTCTCTGTCAATCGACAGAGGTATGAATGCAAGCCTGTGCTAGAAAACAGGGGGCGGGTTGCATTAATAAGATAGATAACTGCTCTAGCCCAACAGCTGCCTGGCAGTTAAAGTTATCATTAGTTACACTGGATATTGTTAATATCTCATTCAAGATTTATGGTGCTTTTTATCTCAGAGGCCCAAAGTACTTTACAGCTCCCTATTATGTCTGAACACCACACAAGGTAGCCTTCCTAATAAAAAAGTACATCTTTCATCTGCAGGTCTTCAGATAGTTTACAAACATCATTAAATTAAGCCTGTGCAGAACAGGAAAATACTATAAGCGTGATCATTTTTACTGCTAAGCTAAATACTTGGAAGAAACCCTGCCTGCCTAGATCAAATCCACTCCACAATATTCCCAGTACTGTGCAAATGATTCTCAGTACTGCACAGAGGCCAGCGGTCATGCAAAGCACACCCAGAACAGGAAATCCAGCCAGGTCTCCCAAAGGTACCGCAGCTCTCCAGCTGAGGGGAATACTGGGGACATCCACCTCAGGGTAAAGAGGACCTTCACCCAACAAGGACACTCCAGTAGAGAAAAAGATCAGATTTAAAAACAAACCAACCGCCCCCTCAGGAATTCCAGATAGCCTACGTAAAGGAAGTTATGAAAACAGAGTCCAGAACTGTATACTCTGGTTGTCTTATCTTACCATGGAAAAAGAGTAAAGAGTACATTTGTACTAGAAAAGCTTATCTTGACAGAAATTAGCTTCTTGAACTAGAATGCCTGTTTCTCCCAGGCTCTGGAGGAACTGCTCATCTCCATTGTCCTAAACCACATGTTCCACGGACATCCCTCCCACACTGCTACATGTTCTCCCTCCTCCGCTGCAGAGTCCATTTTCTATATTGCTCCTTGTTTCCCATTGCTTGAGTTTGCCCTAGCTGCAGCTGCCAACACCATGAAGCAAGACAGAAGACAGTAGCAGTGTAGTTTCAGATTGCCTTAAATTCCTCCGGAAACCACCCTTCTTCCACATTCCCATGTAGTCTCCATTACTTAGCAATCCTTCCCACATGTTCCAGCTACCCCTTCCTCTCAAATTACCTCACCATTTAACATATTTAGCTTAAGTTCAGAGCAATTGTTCCCAAGCCATTCTTAGCGCAAAGTCTGCCGTTTGTTTCACATCCAAAGGAGGTCTTTGTATGCCCAAAATCTTGCCTGCTTTTTTCCATTACGTCAGTTGGTCTAATAAAACCCTCGCCTTACTTAGCAACCATGCCTCACTTAGCAGGCTTTTTAAAATTATTCTCCCTCTAGTGAATAGAACATCATGTACTGATAATTCATGCATATCTCCTTTTATTAGAATTGCCTAAAACTTTCCAGATAAAGGTACATTCATATGCATCGGTTTTCCATAAATAAAAGAGAGAAGCTGACAATTGTTGTAATGATATACTGAGCCCATCCTATAAATTCTTACTCATGTGATATTGCCATGTTTCCAGGAATAGCTGTATTGACTTCTATGATATAGTTAATAGGAACAAATGGCACTCACAGAACAAAACAAGCCAGCAGCATAAAGTCATATGTTTATTAAGATTTATTCCAAGTAAGCCATTCCTCCTAGATGCCCTTGGGATAATTTAAAGGCAGATATCAAAACCTCTGCTACACTATAATTAAATTGCAGCAATTGTATAACATGTAATCCTCTGCTGGCAGAGCTGGGAAATAAAACATGCTCTCTCCAACAATTAGCCATCTTTACAACTCCCCACACACATAGTCAACACACTAGTTTTTAAGCCACCTGACTCACTGCTCTTTGATACATTACCTATAAACTTAAGAACAGTTTCTTGAACAAGACTACATCTATTGAAAATACAGTTTTGTATTATGGCATTCTATTAATTAGAGGCCATCTAAGACTAAATATACCATTACATCCACTTGAGGTTTGAGGTTAGAGGAGGAGAGCTCCATTTTCACTCCTGTGCCCTTTGCATTCAGAAAATATTTCTTAACGGGAGTTTAAGTGTTAAAACAAGCAAAACACACAAATGCATATTGTGTTCTATGACTTGATTGATACACCAGTCCTTTAAAACCTTTTTACACTGATGCTCTCTGTTAGCCAAGACTAACATGAAGGCTATTATTAGCTTGTCAGTCTGACTCGGGCAAGCCAGAAAGCTCTCTTTTAATATTTGCGTTAGGAGACTGCCCTTTAAACAAAGACACCCTACATGCTTCCAGCTCAAGACTTAAGATTCTAATGAACAGATAATTAGACCAACATGAAGCGAGAGCAGCCTTGGCTAACCATATGGCTGTGATGCCTGTGAACCACTGCACAACAGGAAAAGTTCAGAGAAAATTAAAAGCATCTCCAGGCGGGATATAGTTCATTCCTGTGTTGAGAATTTAAAAAGGAGTATGTATCTTCATACAAAAATACAGTCAAAAAAGCACCCATGGAGGTCTGTTCAATACTAAGATGGCATACCTGTCTCAGGAAGTCCCTGAGCCTCAAGTTATTGAGGCTGAGGCAGTTATTCAGGAAGTCTCACTGCACGCTCACCCTTTTCTAATTCTCCTCACGAGCCATTTGCTGCCCACTCCTGGAAGCAGCCCACAATGTCGAAGGACTCTGGTCTCACCCACCCAGCATTTCACAGCATTTGGACATACAGATAGCATCCTTGAAGTCTTCAGTGAGTCACTGGCAATTGTGGTCATTCATCCTGAGCTGCAGTTCTAAGTCTTTCACCTCAAGCTGTCGTCACCACCAGTATCACCTCAACTGAGCTCCCCTGAGAAGGGATTGCAGCCTTCACACAACTCGTGGGAGGGAACAGATGATAGAAACAGCATGTCTACAATCTCCCAAAGTGAGGTTCTCTGCAGTTTTACTCTTGCCCATGATTCTGCAAGTCTGAGAAGGATATCAGTGCAGCTGCCTCTCTTACACACACTCACCCAAGCATAAATAATTTTATATAGCA